ATTTAAGTATAAAGCAGTAAAATTTATCGGGAAGAGATTAGAATATAACACAACGAAAAAATCCAAAATACAAAGAGAACAGCTATTAAAATCATTAAATGTGTGTTTACATTTTTTTTGTAAACTATCACATCCATTTGAACAACTATTTAATTACATGAAGAAGTGAAATAAACGAAAAGTTTTCACAAAGTAATCTGCTACTTAAATCATTTAGTTGCTGTGAATTTTGCTTAAAAAGTATCGCTTTTGAGAAGCTACATTTCAATCAAAACTACAATTTTTTGTTTTTTTTTAAATCTAAATATGTTTATTCATTGGCTGATGAAAATTCAGATCATTGTTTTTTTGTCTGTTTGTTTAACCGAGTGCTTGTTCTGTTTCTAGGCGTCTCAAAGAATGAATACATAATTCATTTTTTCTTTTATTCAAACCTAAGAACTTCCATTTAACGACATGTATGTTATCTTTACAAACACAAAAATTTTTCAATAAGAAAAACAATCAATAAGATGTAACTATTATGCTGAGGTGTTCCGACATCGCTAGGGAGAACTCGATGTGCCAGGCAGCCAGTAATGCTAAAGCTCCGCTGAAGAAAAAAGAAGATTTCCTTTCGAGATTGAGAGACCACTGCCTTGGTCGGAAATCCCTAATGTTGGGCTTCTTCTGAATACAAAAAATCAATCAATCATGTTGACTTTATCATTGGTTAATTTCCTATGAACATGACAACCAGTGACAACCGAGCGCTAGGAATATATTTATTTGCTTTTTTTTTTCTTCTCGTCTGGTGCTCTGTCATTGGAAGAAAAGAACAGTTGACTTTCACGATTTGTTAAAAACAAAAATTCATCGTTTTCTGCATTCAGCTGATAGCAGCTGTTAAACAGAAACAAAAAAATTTTATAATTTTTTTTTAATTGATAGATAGGTAATCGTATCCTATTAGAATTAATAAAATAGAATGGGCCCTACGTAATTATTAAAAAATTGAAATGGCGACTAGTGGTGTTAATAACCACAGCATAGTCGATTCAATTTGGAAAGATCGAATTGAACGAGCACTCAAACATATTTGTCGTACAATTGATATACGACTAAGACGTGATGCTGTGTAAGTATTTAGATTTATTTGGTTATGTTTATTTTTCTTTTTTTTTTCTCTATTAAATAAATAAATATTTCAAGGCCACTTCTTGCAACTATTGGTGAACAAGTTGAACAATCTAATCAATTACGACGTCCACGTATTATATCTGAACCAATATTTATAGAAAAACAATCGACACTTTATACATCTTGTGCTTATGATGGCATAACTGGTGATAAATTAATTTGTTCACTTTCAATTTTACCTCAAATTGATCAATTACCTAATATGTTTACTTATGTACCATTACAAAGAAATTTTCTCGTAAGATTTAACATCAATAAATTATTTGAAATGATGTTTTGTTTTGTTTTTTTTTGTTTAGTGTGATACAGTAACAAATCTCTCAGATTTACTTTTAGATGAAGACGATGAAGATATTAAAAATCTTCTTAATTCTGTTCAATCGGATACTACTTTAATTCAGCAAGAAAGTAAGAAAAAAAAATGTATATTTTTTTTTAATCTATATCTTATTTTCTTTTTTTATTTTAGCACTTCGATCTTATCCAACAACAAGACGTACACGTCGTTCTACTAAAACATCAACAATTCGTGATAAAAATAATGAATTTATTTTCGATGAAGAACATCTTATGGAATTATTAAAACGTATTAAACAACAACCAGGACATGCATCAATACCCATGACAGCAAATGATGAAGCAGCTTTATTCGAAACATTAATTAGTAAGTACAAAAAAGTTTGCTAATCAAAAAAAATTTTATCAATACAGTTCATTCAAAGATTAAATTCGACAACTAATACTAAGATTACAATTGAAAGAAAGTAAATTTATAAGTTTTACTTTCTTTTTCTGAATGTTCAGGTTCAAATTGACCTTTAATGTCGATTACAAGCTAAACGTACTCATTGACCTTCGAATCTTAGCTGCATCATATTTTAATTCTACTAATAACTTCTGTAGAGTTTTAAAGTTTAGACAAAAGAAAAATTTGTCATTCATTAGAAATTTCATATTAATAATTTTAGAATTATATCCATCTTCAGCTGATTTAATTCGAGATCGATTTGGCACAATATTTGAAACAAAAAGTGTACAATCAAAAGAATTAACACCTAATGTTGATAATTCATCAATAGCACTTGATACAACTATTGAAAATACTTTACATTCATATTTTATGCTTTTTTGTCGTCGTTGTTATCAATATGATTGTTATTTACATCGAGATAAACAAGCTATACCTGATTTAAATATTGAATCAAAATATTCAAATATAATTTATCGTCCATGTAGTCGTTATTGTTATAGAATAAATTTAATATCACAACGACGAACAAAATTTGAACTTAAACGAAGTCATAGTGAATTACCTGATAATATTAAATTTCAAATACCAACAAATGGTTTTTATTCAAAACATTCAAAATTAAATTTAATTAAAACTGAATCAATATCACCAATAAATTTATCATCAAATGGTTTTCTTATAAAATCATCATTAAAACGTAAATTAAATGATGAATTATCTGAATGGTCATCAAGTGATAAATCATTATTTCGAGTTTTTTATACAATTTATGGTAATAATATATGTATGATTGCTAATTTACTTGATAAACCATGTTCACAAGTTTATTT